ATATATATGTATTGTCAGTTCATGACAGTGAATGCATACTTAATACTTATGAAAACAAATTGAACTTGATTGTAAAGTGTTTTTGAATTTTCCTTGTAGATTCATATACTTTTTAATTGAGAATCTTGATGTTGTATTATAAAAGTCAATGGAACTGTTATATATCCTGTGTATTCATATACCAGTGCTTTACAGGCTTTTATAGGTGTCATTTTGACTTTGCTGTCATCTTTAACCAATGCCAACTCTCCAAAAAGGCTGTTTATGAACTTTTCTGCCCGTGAACTTTGGAGCACTTCTCAGAAAGAGGAAACACTATGTTGAAACACGGCAGACTGTGAGTGTACTTAAAGAGAGTAGGAAGGGAAACACTAAGAAAGACAGTTATTCATTAGAACGGGTCAAAAAGTCACCAGATTCTTGTGAGGTCTGAGAGCAGCACTCCTTCGGCGTGGTGGGCAGCACTGAACCTCGCAGAACAAGGCAGCACTTTGTTGTGAGTGCAGGGCTGGCGTGCGCCGCTGCCCGCTCTCTGCCCGCCGTGTGTACATTGGCCAGACTGCAGAGCACAGCAGAACACAGGCGGCCCCGTGAGAGAGACACAATGAACACTCTTGTCTAGGGTAGGACAGATAGAGAAAGGGGCAGATATAGAGAGCGAGTTTCCGAGGGTGTCGATATGAGTCGAGGGCAAGACTGGTGATGAGGAGATGGAAATCTTGATGGAGGGGATCAGGGTGGGTTGGCACGCATAGATTCGCAGAATGGTTTTGAGGTTTGCTGCTGGGAAGCATCAAGCCGTCTGGGTTGGAAAAGGGATTAGAGCAGAAAGGAAGGAGTCTTGAAGGGAAAGGGAATACAAACAAATGAATGCAACTGGAAATGAGTGGCGTTGGGGGGGGGGTCTGTCTTTTGGAATCGTACTGTAAATTGTCACAGGAATGTCAAATTTGAGACCTGGTGACCTCACAGTTTGTGTGTGCTTGTTAGCCGACAGCTTACTACCACAAACTATTCCTCAGTGGTTTATTTTTTTCTGCACACATAAGTAAATTACTATAAATGGAGTTATTCATTTGTAGTCTGCTGTATCTGCTTCTACAAAATACTATAAAAAAGCAATCAACTATTCATTAGCACTGAGTGAAAACATTTTCAATCTTAGGAAAAAAGTGCATGAATTGTAACTGATGTTTTTAGCCAATACATGGTAAGAATTGTTGGATACCAAGAGAAAATCTAATTGGAGAAGCATAAATTATTGAAGTGTTTCTTTTTGAGTGATATCAGGGGATCAGCAACATTGTAAACAGCTTCTCTACAGTCCAAAACTTACATCAACATCCATTATTCCCAACTTGTTTTTTGAGAGACAGTGAGGGATCAATTATCATGACTCAAAAATCTTATTTTGTTTCCAAAACTACTCGTGCAAGAGAGAAACGGTCTTGCTGTAGCACCCTTGTGTTTGGGTTTACAGCACTGATTTATCTTCAGTTATTGTGTGTTGGATTATGTGTGTGTTTTTGTGCTGTTCGCTATTGTTAAAATCATGAATGTGTTCGTTTTTGTTTTTTCAGGTTCACCCAAATGGATTGCGATGGTCATCTTGCGCAATGTTTATCAGAGATTCATGAAGATATTATTTGGTGATGATAAGGAAATTCTGTTATATTATTTTAGGTACCTGTGTTACGTTGCATGTGCTTGCAAAGTATTACTTTAGCATTTTGATTACTGTATCCAGAAAGCCTGTTAAAGGAATAGTTTACCCAAAAAGGAAGATTTGCTGAAATTTTACTCACCCTCAGGCCATCCAAGATGTAGATAAGTTTTTTTCTTCATCGGAACAGATTTGGAGAAATTTCGCATTACATCTCTTTCTCACCAATGGATCCTCTGCAGTGAATGGGTGCCGTCAGAATGAGAGGCCAAACAGCTGATAAAAACATTACAATAAACCACATGTAAGCCACACAACTCCAGTCCATCAATTAATATCTTGTAAAGTGAAGAGCTGTGTTTTTGTAAGGAACAAAACCATTATTACAGTGTTTTAACTTTAAACCATCGCTTCTGGCCAAAATACCAGTCCATAATCCACAATAACACTTCCTCCGGTGAAAAAGTCCATCCCCTGTTGTCCTCTCACATCAAAACCCCACTGACATATTTATTTAGAACTGCTTTGGACTTTTTTTTTTTTACTTGTAAACAGTGTTTGATCTGTGCATATTTCTCTCCTGATTCAGACGAGATGACTTTTTGACTAAAGAAAGCAAAATTATTCATAGATGACTCGTATTTTAGCCAGAAGCAATGGTTTTAAATTAAAAACTTCTTAATTATGGATTTGTTTATTACAAACACACAATTTATGGATTACTCACATTACTTGTGGATTATTATGATGTTTTTATCAGCTGTTTGGACTCTCATCCTGATGGCACCCATTCACTCCATTGGTGAGCAAGTGATGTAATGCTACATTTCTCCAAACCTGTTGAGATGAAGAAACAAACTCATCTACATCTTAGATGGCCTGAAGTTAAGTACAGTTTCAGCACATTTTCATTTTTGGATGAACTATTCCTTTAAGTATTTCTTATTAAATATGATTGATAAATATGCATTGTGCAATAAAGACAGTGTTGGACATGCTCTCTCACAGACCAGTGTTTTTCTTTTTCTTTTTTTCCACACCCAGAAATCATGAGACAGGAAATGTGAAGTCATTACAATGAACATTTACTGATTTACAGTTGTTATCTAAGATGCTTAAGACTTAACTTCGTAAAACCAAAGACATGTTCACATCTCTCTCTCCCACCTTCAGCCCACAGGAACTCTACTAGAGCTTTCATTTACAATAATTTATAAAACAAACACTTCAAATATAAAAGTATTCCCCTGTAGCACATTGATAAGAGCGTCATTTGCTTTGGACTCAACATAAGGAAAAGCAGAAAACAGCTTGCGACAGATTTTGTATTTGGCAAGTTGAAAAAATAATGGAAATTTCTTGCTTAAAATGGGACAGGAATTTTATCGCAGTCTTGGGCTTTAAGTTTGAGACTAGCAGTTGGGACACTGGATTTAGTTATCTCTTATAATGATGCCGAAACAGATTGATTTCTTTTTTTGTGTGTGAAAATTTTAAGGGTTAAGTTACAGATATTTACAATTATGCCAAACTTATTCCAGTTAAAATATAAACATTAATAAAACCCCAACAAAGGACAATAATAAATCTGACACCGTTTCATGTGGATTCTGTACATTAGCTCAAGCTGGTGGAAAATTAATTGTTGGTCGGATGAAGATGATTTATTACTTGGTCCTTTGTAATATACCACAGTACCTGTTTTTCTGACAGTTTGTAAAAAGAATAATTGGTTTACAGGAATGAAAATGAAGCAAATTTTGAGCTAAATAATGTCATGTAGACTGTTAAAAACCTGAAAATTTGTACAAGCAATGGCCCTGCCAAACTATACTGGAATGCCACTTGTTGGCAGTTTGCATTCAACTAAAGTTCCCATTACAAACAATCCATATGTCATTCATAAATAGTGGAGTTCATCAAAATTTTGTGCCTGTTTTCGCACCAGCTTTTCATTAGAGAGCTGAAAACACGGTGGGGAGATCTGGCTTTGCTCTCTGCCTCGTTATCGTTACGTTTGTCACGCTTGTTATCTCCCAGGCCATTCTTTGTTCTTAGCCCGTCTGCTAATCTCGCTACTGTCTGACACAAAAGCAGCTAATTAATCCTATTAACATGGCAGCAATTCTTCATACAGGTCTGATTTCATCAAAGCGTTCACATCTAAGAGTGTCGTCTTCACTCTCCAGGAAGAGAGGGGAAAAAAAAAAAAAAAAAACTTAGGGAGATTAAATGCAATGGAAGATAGAAAACATATCTAGTTGCTTAATAACACAATACCTTATCACTGTGAGGGATTAATCAGTCAAGCTAGCCTGTGATTGGCTGTTTTTATTCTTTAAAGGGAAATTTTGAAGTTAATTTTTAAGAGCTTTTTTGTGTGGCCTGGAATTTAAATAGACATGATGGTTTAGTTGAGTGTACGGCTATGTTTGGAATAGCATACTAACATGCTACTCTCACGATCTCTGCAGTATGTATATACTGTGCACAGTATGCATGGGATACCCAGATGACCTACTACATTTGCCAAGACACACACAGTGCAGAATAACATATCCCATAATGCAATACGCACAACTTGACCTTCCATTTCCATCTCTTTTTTGGCTCATTTGTTTGCCTAACTGTGAACAATCACAGCATTTTTACACAAAATTGATTTTAAAATACAAGTCATTATTAGTTGCTTATATGCAACATCACAAGGTAACGTGACAGTGCAGCTTACTAATGTCTGAAAAGTGTTTATCGTGGAATATTGACTATCATTTCACCTACTATTAATAAAAATAGTAGACAGAGTACAGTATATACTACTACTGTAGTACGCTAGAACTCCATTCCGAACACAGCCCGTCACCGAATGATAAAAGATTAGCATTCTGTCCTTACTGTGTTTGATATTGAGTGTTGCAATGGGTTGAATTTGAGCATTTGATTGCGACTGCAAAGACAGTTCCACCATGTGTTTAGGTCATCTGAGATTCAGTCACATCACTGTTGCACAATTTTACCACCACATAACACCAGCGACATGATGTACAAACCCCTTGTTTGTGTTCTCTCATGCTCCACAACATCTCAACAGCATGTTATTGACAGATCACATGAGTACAACACAAAACCCTCTTATCAGAGTGAGGAGCAGCCATTTGAGTAATATAGTGTGTAGCTATAATGAACTCTACTGTAATATTAAACCCAGACTCATTAGGGGGCAAAAAAACGTGCCTGTGGTGACATTTATGCAAAATGATATTACATTGTTTTTTTTTTAATGTTTTAAGACACTTTCAGTGTGAAATGTCCAGTAAGTTGCTTCTACAAGTCTTTGAGGTCTTTTATCCTAACTTGGGTTTTGCGGGACTCATGCCCGAGTGCTTAGCATCGCAAGTGCAGCGCTGTACTGGGTGAGCTACCGAGCATGTTTACTAGCTGGGAAAAACCATATATATGGGGTTGGTCGTGCGATGCAAATATCAAAATGTATTACAAATCATGCCCCGTAATAATTTGTGTAAAAAGAAGTAAAAGTTCTTCGCCTTTTTCTGCCAGTAGTGTTCATTTCAGCAGGAAACTGCAGTAAAATATATATACATTTTTGGAGTTTTGCAAAAATATGGATAGAGGAACGTTTTTTTCTAATGAGCCGAGGTTGGTAATATTACTGCTGGTCAGATGTATTTGGGCTTTGTGATCATTCAGTGTCTAATCTTCGTGTTTTGTTTTCAACATTTGGATCAGTGTGTTTATGTTATGTAAAAAAAATATATATAATAATAACACCTGCAGCCCACTTTCTCATTGGATGGTGCATTGAAAAACCAACTCCAATCTAACGTGGAGTTCAGAGCAGTTTGGCGCATGGTGAATTTTGGATCTTTGAGGCACTTCTTCAAAAAACACATTTTATCTCCCATTTACTCTGTAAAACCAACATGGGAGGTTAAAAGCTTGTGGCTTGAAGCACAGCTACCCACTGTGGATGAATCCATCATGATCATGAATTAAAATGTGCCACTTTGCATCATAGAAGGCATCATAAATTCTTAGATTGGCTACCTACACTATAATACAACAATTTTTTTTTGACCTTTAAACATTATACATTCTTGTTTCGCTTCAGGACGAGCCTCATACAAGATTAAAGAAAATTAAAAAAAAATAAAAAAAATCTAACAAAAGTGCACATTAAGTTAGAACTGTCATATTTAGCAAGGGCTGATGGGAAATGTAGTCTCTGATGGACGCAGGCACACATTGAAGGAACTAACTTGAGTCCCAGTTAACAGTGCACGCGGACACATGGGCGTGAAAATTAAAGAGGATGCTGGGAAGCAGGAAGACAATCAACAGCTGAAATTTGTGGAATAGTTGTGAGTTTGTTTTCTGAAGTTTCTCCAGTCGTTTCTTCTCCCAGTGTAACCCCAAGATAACTCAAGGACGGTCCGAAACGTGAAGTCTTAGTGTTGCTTTTTGTCTTTAACACAGTTTTAAGGAGAAGTTCTTCTCTGTGAACACATATTCTGAGCTAAACTCAGCTGTAGTAGTCTTGTGGAGCCGCAGGCAGAGAAACATCAGCAGTATTGTTCTTCCCTCATACGGTTTCTTCAGTGGAGAGCAGCAGAGGATTAATGTACTCGAATCCCTCAAACTCAGACTGGTCTATTCTCTTTATCACATCCCTGAGGAGAAAAACCAACATTATTCATGGAAGAGCTACAATTCAACTGTACATGTCCCACACTGTGGCTTAAAGCACAAATTAAGGGAAAAGAGAAGGTAGTTTGATGAATTGATTTTCCGTTAGGTGCTAATAAGCATTGCTGGTGGCATCACATCTTTTACATGTATATTTATTCATTTAGCTGACACTTTTATCTAAATGAGGAATATAGACATTTAACCTAAGGAGGCAATAACACAAGAACAGCTAACAATACAAAGTTTCAAACATGGTCAAGGAGAGCATCCTGAATATGTGCTCAATTTGACCTATTTCCAGTGTGATTAAATACAGCTGTGATTTTTAACATTTCTTTTTATTTAGTACTTGGTCGACATTTTCCCACAAAATTAAAAATGCACATTATGTATTTTCTTGGGAAATATATGATAACATTTGAAAGTTTGGGGTCTGTCCCAGAGAGATTTTAAAGTGACAGTAAAGATATTTATAATGTTACAACATATTTCCGTTTCAAAATAGAATCAAAGAATCTTGAAAAAAAGGCATCACGGTTTCCACAAAAATATTAAGCAGCACAACTGTTTTCAACATTGATAATAAGAAATGTTTCTTGAGCACTAAATCAGCATATTAGAATGATTTCTGAAGGATCATGTGACAATGAAGACTGAAGTAATGGCTAAAATGTATTAAAATAGAAAACAGTTATTTTAAACTTTAATAATATTTCACAATATTACTGTTTTACTGTATTTTTTTATTAAATACATGCAGCGTTGGTGAACAAAAACATTAAACAAATCTTACTGTCTCCAAACTTTTGAACAATAAATGTATGAAAATATCTGGTATGTTACTTCTTCAAGGAAGAGCTGAATTTTTTTTTTTTTTTGATTCTGCAAGGGAATATGTAAACTTTTGAGCAAATCTGTAAATGCAGAGGGCCCACCAGAAACAACAACAACCATTCCTCATCTGCGTCAAGGGGCTGGATAATAACAAAGGGGGCTCTAACTACAGCAGTGGGCAGACAGAATTTCACTATAGAGTACAATTGAGAAATTCAGTGGTGTCTTTCTTCTCTTGGCTATTTTTTTTACACTGGCAGTGATCCTTTACATGTCTAAAGAGATAGTAAAATTCTTGCTGAAATCAGACCTCTTGCTCTTCAGAACCTCAGGAATCCATTGATCTATTTTATCAGCCTGTTGAGGATAGCGCACTGCTATAATGCTCCACCTCTTCTATGGCGTAATGCTGAACCGATTCAAAACTCGTTTATCACATACTGTCAAACACGGTCCGTGGAGGACAATTCTCCTCTATAACAAGCACTGTAAGAACTGATATTTCACCAGATCCGGGATCAGTGCCGAATTGTGTTTGTGTGTTCTGTGTCTGATTGAATAAAGTCCCCAGAGGGCCACTTGACTGTATGTGGGTGTGTGTGGGGTCGAAATGCCCCCAGCAAGAGTGAAACCTAAAATAACATGAACGACACCTCTATGCCGTAATATCTGGCTCAGGTTTCAAAGGGAGTGCAGGGGGGAAATGTGTGATGCCACAGAGGAAGAAACACAGAAAGACGGACATTCTGGGCACTGACCAAAATAAACAAGCCTCTTTACTGCACAAATGTTTCTTTAGAAAAGAATTTCAAGGTGGAACTTGTTTGAAAGAAAGCAAGCAAGCAAGCTTTGGTACTATTTTTTCATTTTCAAAACTTTTCGAACTCCATAACATGTCTAACACTACCAACATTTCCTTTCACACAACCTGTTTAAAAACATACGATTATTGTGACAAGTAATGCGAACATTTGGCTTTATGAAAGGAAATGACTTTAAATTAAAGGTATGTGTAGATAAAACACTTATTAGGGGCAATTAAAAATGCACACTAGGAAAATGTTGGGGTCGGTAAGATTTATTAAAAATAGAATATAGTACTACAATTTAACGTAACCTTTTTATTTGAATATATTTTAAAATGTAATTTATTCCTGAGATGGCGAAGCTACATTTTCAGCAGCCATTACCCCAGTCTGCAGTGTCACATGATTCTGCAGAAATTATTCTGATATGCTGATTTGATGTTTAAAAAACATTTTGTATTATTATCAATGTTGAAAATATTTGTGCTTTTTTTATATTTTTGCGGAACATTTTTTCAGGAGTCTTAGAAGAAATTTACAGTTAAAAACAATAGCATTATTTGAAACAGAAATATTTTGTGACATTAAAAATGTTTTTGAATGACCTTACTGACCTCAAACTGTTGAACGGTAGTGTACTTTGTGTAAATGTTGGTAGCTAGATAATAATGCACTGGGTATCCAAGTTCCTTTATAAGCCGTTTGTGTGAGCATGTAAAAGGGAATCGTGTCTCTAGTCGCAATGGATTCCAGTTCATCCTTTTCCGCTTCGCTCTGAGACACATTCCTTTAATCCAAAAGACTAAATCTTTTTTCATCTGCCAGATCCATCAAAAAAAAAAAAAGGCTTCCATCACTTCCTCCCCCTCCTCCACCGTGTGGGACGTCAGGCTTTTCCAGAGCTCGCTCTGCTTTTGAAGTGTCTGGCTGCTGCGTTCCTTTGAAGCCTGCTTGGAAAATCTCGTATTGAACTAAAAACCCGCCGTGGCTCTATAGATTACTGTCTGTCAGTTCATCTGACTGCGGCCCACTTGCGTTCTGGTAATTATGAGTGACAGGTTTACCTTACATTAATGATTGTATACTCAACAGTTAATGTTTGTAAGTTCAATGAAGTGCATCTTGGGCTTCTCATGGAGAGTTAAAATATCAGATCACTTCAAGATACTGGATGACCTCATTCGGAACTGATTGCCTGATTCGAATTGAGGTAGTAAACAGGATGAGATTGAGAATTGCATCAAATTTTAATTTGAATCTAAGGAAGAATTAAAATGAATTGAAATTCAGATGGATGAATGGAACGGATGGATAGATTAATGGATGGATGGATAAATGTATGGAATGATAAAATGATGGATGGACAGATGGAATGATAGAACGATGGATGGATAGATGCAATGATAGAATGATGGATGGATGGATAGATAGATGGAATGATAGAATGATGGATGGATGGATGGACATCTCCAATTCAATCTGTCTTTCCAATTCCGATTGAACTTCCCGTGTTGTGGGCAATTCAACTCACACTCACGAATTGAAAGGGATCTAATTCTTCTAACTTTTGCATAACCCTACTAATCATTGTACGTTTTAAATGCACAGACCTCAGATTTTGGCGATAACAGGATGCATTTCAGTCATGGTACAAAATCACATTGTTAATCAAAGATGCCGCCCTCTTTCAGGGCTGCATTTTTGGAGCTCCATTCAATGTAAATTGAAACCAGGAATCCCTTTTAGAAGCTTAAGGACTGCCTGTCTCTATGGATTAAATCAGAATAAAAAATTCAGCCAGATATAAAAGTCATTGTGAAGACTGGAGTCCCTCTCGAGAGAAATACACCTCTACAGAACAATACATCTTAAAGCCCGGCGTGATTGTCCTCCATGCAGAACGACAGGAATGTCTGAAGAATCTCTTGAGAATAATGGGGTGAGGCCTCAACAACTGACTCAAATGTACTCAGACATGCCATGAGGTAACCTACAATCCTCCACCATCAAATAAATGCACATTTTTTGCACTGAGCTGACTAGCCTTTCTCTTATTTTAGCACTTGTTTTAATCACCGCAGTATTCAAAAGGACCGAGTTTATGAATGAGCGACTGAAGAAAAGACTTGAAAGCATAAAAGCCCCCCTAGAAACTCACTTCATACTGATTAAAGCCAGTTTCCACGTGAATCTCTGGTTTTAAATGCCTCTCGGCATCAGGTTTTTGCCGTTTAAGAGCTATTCTTTGTCCTCCCTTTCAATGTGGCCCTTTTCTGTGCACCTCATACTGTAAAGCAATCAGAAACTCCAGAGGGGATGTTTCCATATGACGACATCACCTCTTGACGATAGCCTCCAGATGGGTAAACCATTTCACTTCATCTCGCTCTCTCTTCTGAAGGGGAATCTTAGACATATAAACCTCACCATCCTAACCAGCAGAATCAAACTGAGTGGAAACCCCCGTCATTAAACAGCTAAATCTTCTGCTGGTGCAGTCATGTAACTTTGAAGTTGTTAAATTATTACATAATCGCTCTCAAGATGGATTCCGCAGAAGTGACGACTGACTTTAATTTTCATTTAAACATTTGGAAGATGTTACGGTGTGTAAGGAGATGCCAGTTTGTCTTTTCATAATTCAAATCTGGACACATTTGACCAAACACGAGTCCGGTCGTATTAGCAGTTTTTAGCAACTGGACAGGTCATTGGAAAACAGGTGGAGTGATTCTTCTGTCAGAGGTCTTTACTGATCATTTGTGGTAATGAAATGCCCTTCGGCTAAGCATAACATTTTTCAATACTTACTCGTCGTCTGGTGTTAGCTGCACGGGTTCGTTGGTGAACTGCGTGTCAAAGTTGTCTAAACCGTAGTTGTCTGTGATCTGAGGTTTGAACGGTGGCGTCACCTGCTTCTGTTCCAGCTAGAGGAGAAAAGTGAGAAAATGATTGATTAGAACAAAATCCACTCCAACATTACAATATCAAGACCCCTGATTAGAAAAGCCTATTTTGGTTAACTTCTATGTTCTTTTTAAGCTTTTTTTCCAAAACCTTGCTGGCTACATTGCAGAGTTCAACAACAGTCTTAAGCTGAGAACACACTACATGACTGTCTGTCTAGCTGATTATGAATGCAGTTTGGTCTTGACGACTGATCGTGCTCAGTTGGACCAGGTCTGTTCCAGTTGGGCTCAGTCGCTGTTTGCAGTCGGTAGAAAAACTTGCATAGTGTGTGGTGTCTAAATAAAGATTATAATCTTAGAATTCGAGAACCAGTCATTGGCAGTCATTTTCACAAAGATTTTTTTAAACATGTTTAATATTTGCGACTGACGCCAGCGATTGCATATGTGACTATGCAGTGGAGATGCGCTTACCAAGGTTATTTTCGTAAATGAAAACTAAAACGAAAACGATTGATGAAAAAAATAATTCAACAACTAAAACGAAACGAAACTAACAACAGTTATTGAAAAACTAACTGAAATAAAATAATAATTATCAAAAATAAATAATCGTTTTAGTAATCATTAAGTTCTCACCCCTTGGCGGAAAAATATATGAGCTGTGTGGCGCCGGCGGTTTAGGGAAATGTAAATGTAAATGACGCATCGCGCACGTGAGGTTATCTGACGGAGAGACGCAAAGCAGTTTAAAGCAGAGTCCTGCACGGGTCCTGTTTGGTAAACGTGCACCAGCAGTACTTAACAGAACACTCGACCCATTATCCAACAGCAGCACTAATTTAATTCTGTACCAGACCAGAACTGTTTGACATAAAGACCGCGAGTCGCGACCCGAACCGCACCCGCATTAAATCTATTACATCAGGTAAGCAAGATTATTTATTTTCTCATGTAACTGTTAAATGCGATTGCCATTATTATTGAATTTCATTAGTCCCCGTTATGATTTATGTGCAGTTGTTCACGGAAAAGTGAGCAAGACACAACAGTTACAATATATTATGATTGTTAAAAAAGAAAAAAGACATCTAACCGTCATAACCAAATTAGGCTACATGCGTATATTTGTATACTTTTACCATTTAAATCAATCTCGGTATGCGTTAATTTTGTGTCGCTAGACGTTTGCATCACTAAGGCTAAATTATGCCTTATTGCCTTTTATGCCGAAGTCTTTCTTTGGCTTGCTCTCTGGAAATTATCTGTTAATTCTGCTAAACTTTAATTAAGACTGAAACTAAAACTGAAACTAAACTATATAAAATCTAAATAAAAATGCGTTCACAAAATAAAAACTAAACTAAAACTAACAACAATATTAATGAAACTAATAAAAACTAAACTGAATTGTATAGCAAATTTGAAAACGATATTAAAATAAAACGAATTTAAAAATTCAAAACTATAATAACCTTGGCGCTTACTGTCAAACATTATTCAGCATTCATTTTGTAATTTTGTCAAATATTTTTTCTTGATAACACATCTTGTTGATATTTGTTTCTTGTCTTTCTTTTATTTCATAAATTAACATTGCAAGTTAAATGGTTTTAGACTATTTATTTGGGTTTTTTTCTGCAGTTGAAGAAAGTAAAATAGCCTAAATTATATCAGTGATTTCTCCCATTTTAAAGAAATTATCAAGAATTATTTTATTTCGATCTGCAGTCTAATAAAAATAAAGATTTTTTTTTAAATTACCCTATAGGACTAGGCCTATCTATAGGTTACAGGCTAATTCAAAATATTCTTAACTTTTACATTTTTCTTAAAATTTGTTTTGAAGAATATTTAAATCAACTTCATAACAAATAGGCTTTTCTTCATAACGAATATACGAACATAACGAATAGCTATTTTTCAAAACAAAATTTTCAGAAAAAATCACAAATATGACACAAAATGAAATCATTTTATATATACGGTTTAATTATATATAATCGTTTTGTGTCAAATGGATGAGGAAATTACATTGCCTTGAATTTCTCTGCAGCTCTTTTGTCAGCTGTTGGAGTGCAGTGTTGACAGTGCCATTAAATAACATTGGGAGCATGAACGCTTGCTGTAGACTAATAAAATGAAATTTAAATTTAAGAACAGAACAGCACATGTGTCTATTTGTCAGGACTGGAATGAGAAGGTTCAAAAGAACGCGGGAGTCAAGCTTTCCAAGCAGAAATGAGATATAAATTCAGTCACGCTTTTCAGGCGGACTCAGGTACAGTTCGCGGGTGTGCACCCAAGTTCAGAAAACAGCATTCTCATTATCCAAATGAAACAAACTCTAATGTCAGACGAACCTGGGTGCACTCCAAAATTGCTAGTGTGAAAGCCCCATTAGAAGCAAAGATTCTTTACTGGCTTTACTTCACTTTACTATGGTTCCATGAAGAACCTTAAACATCCATGGAACCCTTTTGGAACCTTTGTTTTTAAGAGTGAATAGAAATAGTGATGCCAAAATTTTGAAAAGCTAGGGCAAAAAAAACAAACAAAAAAAATTCCCAGCTAGGGCAAATTACCTTTTAAGTCAGTGTCAAAACCTTTTATCCAAACTAAAACCTCAGAAGTGAATGATTTGGGCCACTCTGCATAGGCAGCAACACAAATAGCAGTCCATGCAGGTGATTAAAATTACAATTGTTTCCAACAGATTCTACAGTTATCATGCTGCTAAGCTAACCATATGGCACCCCAATGGACTCTAAGCATAACCATTTCCGAATGTAGCCTTGGTGGCCACTGCAGCTTCCTGTGTGGCACAAAATTAATTCTTGAGGAAGTTTCCTAGTGGAAATTTTTAGGTAGTGGTTCATGAGCAAAAAATATATTGCAAACAAAAATACTGGGTAAACAAGTAAACATGTGACATAAATTCCATAAATGGACCAGATCATATGTACCCATGTTTATGAAATTTCATAAATGGTGTGACTTTCAAGTAAAACCACAAAAAAAAAACAGACAAAAAAAAAAAAGCAAGGCATTTTTGATTTTCCACTAATAGGCCACTAATAATATTCCATTACTTACTACATTAAAAACACTCTGAAATGAACTGAAAGAGGGCGATTGGCCCTTGTGTGAGGGACACTTCCATTTGTGTGAGTTCTGAAGTACCTCAAAATGTTTTTAATAAAAGAGAATAAGACAATAAAGTAGAGAGGGACAAGGAGATAATTAATGGAGGGCAGAAAGAAGAAAGAAAGAGACGTGGTATTTATTGTATTATGGAGGTTTGATGTTAAGCACTTGTTAGAATGGACAGATTCTGTGGACGTCAACACTACAGGTCAGTTAAGGTTTGTTTTCACATTTGGACTCTTTTTGCCTCTCTAATATTCTCTGTGTTTTGAGGACATGATCCTGCTGTGTTCCACTCCACGCCGTTCTGCACAAACTGGAACAGATGGCCTCTCTTCTCTCCTTTCACTACTCACTCTCTCTATTTAGTCTAATTCATGAGTCCAGCTTAATGTCTCTTGTGTTGGTCTGTCAAAAGGCAGTAAATAGACTTTTACATTTATTAAAGAAAAGAGTGGTTATTGTGCAAAACTCACCGATATGTGGTCGGCCAAAAGCTATGGGTGTTTTTTATGCGTTGCTATGCAGTTACTAGGCCGTTGCTAGGTGGATGCTTAAGTGTGGTCAAAGTCAAAACAGTCTGCTAGGCCTCAATATCCCCTTTGTTCCCTTTTTTCCAAATAATTTTTTTTATGTATATACAGTACTCTTAAAAAGTTTGGGGTCCGTGAGATATATATCTTTTTTTTTAATTAATACTTTTATTCAGCAAGGATACATTAAACTGATCAAAACTGACAGTAAAGACATTTGCAATGTTACAAAATATTTATATTTCAAATAAATTTCTGTTCTTTTGAACTTTCTTTTCATCAAAAATCCTGAAAAAATGTTTTATGGTTTACAAAAATACTACAAGTACAAAAATATTAAGTAGCAGAACTGGTTTCAACATTTTTCGATAACAATAAGAAGTGTTCATTGAGCACCAAATCAGCATATTAGAATGATTCCTGAAGGATCATGTGACCCTGAAGAATGGCATAATGGCTGCTGAATATTCAACTTTGCCATCACAGGAATAAATGACATTTCTAAATGTATTAAAATAGATAACAGTTATTTTAAATCATAATAATATTTAACACTATTACTGTTTTTACTGTACTTTTGATCAAATAACAGCAGCCTTGGTAAGCGTAAGAGAAAATCTAACCGACCTCAAACTTTTGAACGGTAATGTACATAATCCTACTCTTTCCCAAGAGCAGAACGCCCTGCCTTTGCATATGTGTGGATTGCAGAGTATTGGCAAAACAAAAGTGGAGAGAGACATAACAGAGAGGTAAAGACGGCATACAAGGGGAAAAAAAAGATGTTAATTGGTGCCCAGCCGCCACGTGTGTGTGTTTATGATTCCTGAGGCCATTGACTCCAGAGAGTCAGGCGTGACGCAGTTGGCTGCAACCTGCCTGGCGGAACATGCTAACGCTCGTCTCTGTAGCAGAAAACCAATTACACATGCACACCCATCCAGATGCACAGAGGCTCTTCACACTGATATGTGGGAGTGGATTATTCCCACACAGCTCCTTCACTAGTTCTCGCTTCCCGCCGTTCTCTCAGTCTCTCTGTCGGGGTCCGGCATCATCCTCTCTGTGACAAAATGATCGTAAACTCACTGGTGATCCACTAGGATGACACGGTGCTGATTGCAGTGGGATGCTATGACTCCCTTTACACCCGGTATTATGTGTTATTGGTGATTGCATCATAATCGGATAGCAATTGATCACAGTAAATGCACCCAGGATGCACTGTGATCTGATTGCAGACACATTTTGGATCAAAACTGCATGTGACCATATTGGATTTGTAATGTAAATGCTAATCTGTCCTGATTCTGGATCAGGTCAACAGACACAGATATT